TCACTCTGAACATGCTGACAGGGGAATCAGCGAAAGCTAAGTTTGTTTTAGTATTGTAAACAGTTGCTTTTATTGTTTTAAATTTTTTAACAATAAACAGCTGATTTATATTCCTCCCGGAGTTCAAAGATTGTAAATTTTATATATATATATATATATATATATATATATATATATATATATATATATATATAAATATGTAGGTCTTTGGTTGTTCGGGTTCTCTTCCGCGTAAAATTGGAAGTGTCTTGGCGACGTTTCGACGAAGTCCCATTTGTCATCTTCAGGCTAGTGTTTTCAGCTTCGTGCTTCAAGGAACACGAAGCTGAAAACACCAGCCTGAAGATGACGAATGGGACTTCGTCGAAATGTCGCCAAGACACTTCCAATTTTACGCTGGAGAGAACCCGAACAACCAAAGACCTACATACAAACACCCGCGAAAACCTCAGAAAACAAATATATATATAATATAATATAATATAATATAATATAATATAATATAATATAATATATATGGATGCCACTTCCAGAAGTCCATTCTGGGCCTGGACAACAAAAAATTAGTTACCGGTTCTGTCAAACTGATGCAAACTGGCTGAATCCCACCATTGTATACAAACACACACACACAGAGAGAGAGAGAGAGAGAGAGAGAGCAAGACTCTTTCTCTTGTCACGAAAGCATACTTTTTTTACAAAATATCTTGTTCATATTAAACATAACCATTATTTAGAACTGTAATGCTGACTATATATATATATATATATATATATATATATATATATATATACACACCTTTTTACTTTTGATTATTTTAAATTGTATTTCTGCTGACCTTACATTCCTTGAATACTATCTGTTGAACTGCATATGTTAACAAATACATTCCTTTTTGAAAAAAAGATTTGGCCAACCTGCAGTCAGTATTATTTTTCCAAAGTAAGCCCTTTTGTAGCTTTTTGGAATGTTGCTCTCTCAGATTTAAGAGCATGAATTCATAAATTGACCAGGGCAGTTTATAAACACCACATTTGGATCCTATTATCATGGCCTCATGCTCTTGATCTCAAAAACTGATCTCATTTTTTAATTTTGTAATATATACCACATATAATGTTATTTGCCACAAGATGGTGCCAAAGTTCACAACAATTGCAAAATAATTTAGTGGGACTAAATTATTATTTTCTCTGAAATCATTTGGCAAGACAAGTGTTCTTTTAAACAAGTCAGGGTAGCAAAGGCAGTCATACTTTCTTCATAATCAGGGCGTAGTGTTTAGCAATCCTGGAGGAGAAGCCCTATACATCTGTCCATATATCAGATGAGGATGGGCTTAATTCACTTTAGCTTTATTTAATGGCCAGCTTCACTGCAGGAAAGTTAATTCTGATCCTCAGCTTATCTGTTGCCTGGGAAGGGCTTGGCAATGTGGGACACCAGTGAAAGCATTAGGAACAAATTATAAGAGGATTACAGGCTGTTCTACTTTCTGGAGACCCCTCCCAACCCCAAGCCATCTGTAGCATCAGCACTACCCATTCATAAGGAGTAGTCTTAGGGCAAGTAATAAGACCCCAAAGTTTTCTGTAAAGGGAACTGCAGCAGTCCTATATTTTACAGCTTCCGTAAATTAGCATGTTTTGGGAGGTTCCAGGCCAGAAAAGAGACTGCTGCTGAATTTACCCCTAGAGTTGAGCTGAGGGTACATAAGTGAAAGGAATAAAAGACACTTTTAAAAAAAATTTGGAGGGAAAAAGGCAAGATGGATGCCTTGATTAAACTTAGAAAATAGTTAGGGCATATAGTTTACATCTAAAACTTCTGAATCTATCTCCCAAGAGTGTCCCCAAGCATGATTCCCAGCAAGATATTGGAAACCTTCATGAAGCACTTGACCTATTTGAATTTGTGGTTTGACTGCAGTCTAAGATAGTGAACAAATCCAGACACTGTGCCTTATTTATGCTTTGAATATAACCATCAGTTATTTATTCAATTAGCCATGGTTAAGCAAACCATATCATGGTTTGTTATATGAACCTGAGTCTATATATTAGTCTTTTGCAAACTATGGTCTCCTGATACATTGCATTTCAGCTCCCCAGAGTTACGGCAAGTAACTAGCTATGCTAGTGAGAATTCTGAGAATTAATTGTCCAACAAATCTGAATAAAGAGTTGGAGAAGCTGTCTATAATGATTCCACTTAAACTATTTCCCAAAATCCTCATGAATGCAGTGATACCATCAGTAAAAAGAATGTCAAACCTTACCTTACTATTTTCTTCCAAGACTAGAAACCAAAATGACTCTTATTGAAAGGATTAAAATGAACACAGAATCCACAGACTTGTCAGAGCACTGAACAAAGCCTCTGCTATTTTCCTCAACCTTCCTCAGCAATGAGGTACATTACTCTACAGGTATTATGACCTAAATAAATTAAATAACCACATTATTCCTTTGCAGCACAGCCAATTTATAATCATGCTAGCTTGCATCACAACCACAGGTCCAGAGAAAGGAATATTATGTATACCCACAATTCAGTATTATGGATAGATATGGCTTCAAAGGCATACTTCATGTAGCAATTCCTCCTCTCTCTGGGCCCCTAGAAAGAATCTAGCCATGTTGCTATGCTCTACTTCTGAGGCCTTGTTCAGTTCTTCTGATAAGCTCCTTCACATTCAATTTTCCGATGCTTTGTTCTCCCTAGTGAGGATGTTAGACCTACTAGGGAAGATTTCGTGCTCTCTGAGGTAACATCACACTTCTTCATGCATGTTGGTTGCACATTTATCTGAAAATAGCTAATGGGAACCCTTTCCATTCTGGGTTGGGCATAAGATCTTTTATTGACTGTGGCTGTTTCTAAGGGAGCAGCTGTATTCTCAGTTATTTATTTCTACAAAGGGAGTTTGCACTGAAAGAGCATCATAATATGATTGGTAGTGCAGTTAGGTGATTTTGGACTTAAGTGGAAGCAGTAAGAGCTACTGTTTAAATGGAAATGTGTTTTGTGTTGGTTGTTTGAAAATGTATGGTTTTTTTAAGTTGCTGTTAAACTGCAAGAGCTCTACATTTCTAACTGAGAAAAGAATTTGCTGTTATCACTGTGTACAATACCCCTACGTTTCCCTCTCGGTTCAGTCATGGAATAGCTGGTCAGAAGCACCTGATGAACCATGGTAAGTTGCAGTTATGCTAGCCTTAATAATCTGAGATCTATATCTCCATACAGCCACCAGATGTTATTCAGTGATAGCTCTCATTTTGCCTACTTAATATGGTCTATAGAGAAAAATGGTGGGTAATAAACTTCAACAATACCCTTGCTCAGTGGTGTAACAGAAAATGTTTAAGATCATGTGCCATCTCAGTTACTACCACTACATCAAGCTGCTAACTGCCAAACAGCTGTTCAGCATGCTGGGAATTGTCATTCCATTCTCAACTGGATCACAAAATTCCTGAAAATTTAACTGTTACCCTTTGTAAGCTGGCATGACTTGACTTCAACATATCACTGTCCTTGCTTTATTTCATAAAAGGAATTCTGCTTTCTGAATTAACTTTGAGTTCCATATTGCTGTATGTATATTGAGAATACATAGGAATTACTTTTGAATAATCATATAAGGAATGCACGTTAATAATATGGGGAAGCTGGTCTGTGAATCACAATGGATGGGGCTTTGATACAAAACAAGTGACATCACCATAGGAGGTCAGGATTAGTTTTGGTTGTTTTGATTTTTAAATGTGTGTTTGTCTGTGACATATATTGCAATTTTCATGAGTTTCTCACTTTAATGTAGCAGAAAATTATGCTATCATTTTTGAAGAGTGTTACAAAAAGGAAATTGGGGTGACATGTACCCAAAAAACAGTGCTGTGAGATTTCCAATTTATTCTTGACATTAATGGCCTTTTAAAATCCTTTCCAAATTTGTGTCAGAAAATTCAACTAGATGATGTCTTCAGAAAAAGAACATCTCCAATAAAAAAACCAAAAAAAAAAAAAAAAACAAAAACTACTTAACCCTGTGAGGAGTTCTCTGATCATGTCTGTCTTGGATTTTCTAGAATTGGCAGCATTGTAGGAAGAGACACATGCTTGTTTAGGGTAGGCAAAAAATCAGAAAGATTTTGGTACATACTTTTGTGAATGGCAAGCTTATATCTTTAAAAAAAAATGATTAGTCTTAAAAGGTACTACCAGCCTCTTTCAGTTATTTGGAATCACTGGGTAGCTAGTAAGACTGCAGACTATAGTAGAGTATTCTCTACTATATGCAGTAAGCCTGCAGAGTATAGTAGAGAATTCACAGTAGAAAATATTGTCCAGGGAAAGACTAGATATTAACATGCATTCCTTGGTCTCACTCTAATAAACACAAAAACACACACTCCATTCCTAATAATTTCCTTTCAACATATTTCTCTTTTGGGGGTGGGAATAATGAGATCTGTAGTCCAATGTATCTTAGCCTTTGTTAAGAAAGGCTGATCTATGCAGAAAACTTGTTTTGTAGGTGCCCATGAATGCAGCTCATTGCTGCAACCATCTTTATTGGTAGTGTGCAATTAAAGTGTGACTTTTTAATCGAGTGATTCTGCATGTGAACAAATGTAAGAGGAAAAAAGCTTAGCCTCCCCCTCCAAAAAGGGGGAAGAAAAATAGATCCTTGATTAGCCAGATATTGGTAGCCCCAAAGTTCAAAGTAGCATTTATAAGATGTTTGAGTACATAGAGGGAAGGTACATTTGCAATCATATTTGACCCATATCTAAGAAGTGTAGCACACACCAGTCATCTGAACCTGAGAAAGCTCCTGAAGATAGGGTGGGTGATGCTGACAAAGCATCTTTTCCATTTGGGTCAGGAAGAGTTAATTCCACCCTGGTACTATTTACTCCTTGCGCTAAATGTCAGAACGGGCATCACGTGATTTTTAAATCTCCTGAGAGCGCATGGAGCATGCCCAGCTCTGGCTCTTGATGCAGGATGCCAGATTCAGTAGCAGCATAGCATCTTCCCCTTGTCCTACTGAGCTCTGACGATAAATTGGGGAGGGGGAGAACACGGCAATGATTGACTAGCATTGAAGGAGAGGAGCGGACGAGTGAGAAAGAAAGGGAGGGGGAAGAGGGACGGCTGCCATTCTACCAGAGGGAGAGGTGGCGGCGGCGGCGGCAGCAGCAGCAGCAGCAGGAGGAAAAAAAAAAGGCTCTTGGTGGAGTGAGCAGAGGCAGGGGAGGTCATCGCCATGGCTTGGAATCTGCCCACTTGGAGATGAGCCACACAAAGCCACTGCACAGTGAGTGTCTCTGTATCTCCAAGGCATCGAATAGCTGGATGCTTATATTTGTAGAGGCAGCTAGCCAGCCATTGACAGGTGCATTGCTTGAGCTTTTTATGGAGGATGTTGGTGAGAGCCAGGGCAGTGACAAAGAATCTTCAAACGAAAAGCTACTTCTTCCTGCAAAACAGAAGAGGAAGCCTCTAAATGTGGAGGAAGAGATCTGCTTGCATTGTATCCCATCCTTTTTGCTTGCACAGGGTTCTTACTGTGCTGGGCTCTAAATGATGCTGAGCTTGAGTGGCACTGTCACTGGGTAAACGTGCCAGAAAGCATGTGCTGCTCTGAACATGCAGGTAGCTCAGCAGCCTTCATGGCCCAGGGATGTACATGTGCATGTATTTGTGAAAGAGAGAAAATGCTTAGATGTAGCATCATATTCCTGATATTGTAAATTTGTCTCCCGCCCTAATTGGCGGGTAATTAGGGATGGAGATTTGATTTGGTTAAGCAAGTCAGGGATCTCAGCAGTTACCAAAAGAGTTTGCTCACACAAGCAGTCCGGTTGGATTGTCTAGGCTTGTTGCCTAAAGATATCTGTCTACCAAGAGAGAAAGACTAGAAGTGGGAGAGACAAAACAATCCTTCACAAGATATGTGTAGCAGATAGAGGAAGTCAAGCCGCATTGTGTAAAGGTTACAATTGCAATGCTCTGCATGCTGTTCTGTGAATAAGCCCCATTGAATATCATGGGTTTTACTTGTCACTTTTTGGATTGTGTTATAAAGCTTGATTTACGAAACTTTAAAGTTTTCTATTGCTCTAGGTATCTGTTGTGTGCATGTATGCTGTGATATATATGTCTGCATTGGAAGGACTGTCTGATCTTATATGACAAAGGAACAGGAAAGTTGTTGAGTCTTGTGATAACAGAAATCTAGGTAGAATTCAGATCTATTCAGCCATCAAATATGTTCTCAAAAATTAATCCAATAGTCAGTTTTAATTTAGGGGATTATTGAGCACTGCTCAAAATGTGGGTGCGCATATGGTTGTGTATGTATCTACACTATTAGGCATGCATAGGCATCAGCATGAATCTACACTGGTTATAGGCTGTGTTGTGTTGTGTTGCAGAGCAATTGTCCATGCTAGCACAGGCCATCACAGCAATGTGTCTCAATGGAATGTGTCTGGTTTCTTTAATGCTCTCACTAGTCTTTCAGATTAAGATATGGTGGACAAAATGTCAGCACATATTTATGTTATCAGTGTCATTCCATGAGGTTTGTTCATTGCACATTTATGCCTGGTTACAAGGGGACATAGCGTAGTTCTCACATAAAGCAGTGAAACAGGATTTAGAAATGTTTAAATGCTGACTTAATTTGAGTTTAGCTTTCTGGAAAGTATTACTTTTGACCTGATCATTTTTCTTAAGCAGACTGCACTATTAACTATCAGTGCTGCAAGAATCAACAGGAACAGTTGTCACCCAGTAAATTAAGCTGCCGTGAAAACAGGAGTTTCCTTAGCTCCAATTGGCAGCAGTCTGTTTGTGATGCAGAATCCTAGCTCTGGGCTCACTGTCATGAGATCTTAATAACTGGCTCTGCATCTATCTGTAGGAAACAAGAGTTTCTTCTGACCTCTCCAGTGGAGATTGAATAAATCAGTTCAGGCTTCAAAATCTGCAGCTTAAACATAGTACTGTCTGGGTCTAGTGTGAGGTTGAGGCTGAGATCCTTTCCTATAGCTGCTTCTCCCTCTTTTTCTTGCCATTGGCAGGAAAATAAAAACCTGGATTTCCTCTTCACAGAAAGAGCAGAAAACAGATTCAGTTTATGTGTTATTAGAAATCCTGTGCAAAACGAGAACTGGTTGGATGTAGTAGTTAAGGCATCAGGTAGAAACTGGGAGACTGTGAGTTCTAGTCCTATCTTGGACACCAAGCCAGCTGGGTGACCTTGGGCCAGTCACTTTTATCTCAGTCCTAGGAAGTAAGCAATGACAAACCACTTATGAAATCTTGCCAGAAAATTGCAGGAACCAATTCCAAGCATTGGATACAATTGAAGGAAGGGGGGGGGGACAAGGTTACAAAGCCTAATCAACAAGCACATTAAATAGGGATACTGATAAGATGATTTAGCTCTTATGTATTTTTCAACACCCCACTCCTAAAACCATTATATAGAAATCATGTTAATGAATCTTGTATGTATATGTTTATGTAATGGGTTTGGTCACGATGAGGCCATATATGATTGTGTTTGAATTGCGGCTTGTTGAACCACATTTTTGACAGACTGAAAATTTCAACTGTAATAATGCAGTACATAGGTTGGAAAAGTCAAATTGAATCCCCTTATTTTGAACCCACAATAAATTATTTATGCAGTAAAACCCCAAAAATGTGCTCTGATTCATGTGCTTTATCTATAAACATAATTAAGTATTTGACTTTTTCTTTTTTTTACAAAATTTGAGTAAATTTTAATGCTGTTGGTTTGATAGCTCCGGATCTGCAAATATTTTTACGTCTTTGCTAGGTATATTATACATTCCCTATGCATGAATTATAATGTATAATCTAAGCCAGGATCTGTGTGATTGAGATAAATAAAATCAGCTCTCGGGTAACTAGGCAGGAAACCTTTTCTAAGTTAAAAAATAATATTTTTCCAGGGTGACCTAATACAATATAATTTGAGTACGCAGTCTTTTTTTCTTTATAAATCTGTTACATTTGCAGACCTATTTGTAACCATTCGTCTTCTACATTAAAAAATAATCTTTCTCACCCATTGTATAAAATTTCAGAATAGTCTCTTGTAGCTGAGCTTTTTTATGGCTACTAAACTGTAGCAAGCCTTTTCCTCCCCCTCCCCTCCCCCCCTTTTTTTAGTCAAGATGTTGTTCAGCCAGTTGCTTCATTTTGCTGTATCCCAAAAGTCAGCGTTTGGACCTTTGGGGAGTTATATTTTCTGACTGAGCCTTTGGTGATCTTGGGTTAAGATTATATATGTTTTAAGTATACTTAAAATTTCATACTTGAGTTATTTCGGTTCTTTAGGAATTAATTGTCCTATTCCTGTCCATTATTAAGAATATTTTCTCTTTGCTTAAGCCATATTTATTCTTTTCATTAATATTTCAAAAAAGTTTATAATGTAAAAAAAGAAAACCTTAAAGGATAAAAGTTCATGCAAAACTCGCATAGACAAAGTGTATGGCAACATTTCACATAATAAAATCTTTCCTGGGTAAAATGTTCAAATATCTTTTAAATAGGAAGAAAGGAAAACTACTGGAGTTTCTTAAGGAAACAAAATTCACAATTATGGTCCCACACTTGAGAATACAGGAGTGCAGTGGGGACATCTGACATTTTAGAAAGCATGTGGTGGATGCTATCATAAAATGTCTACCATAATCACCTCACAAAAAATCATTTCCACAGAGATCAGTCTGGTAAATTATTACTCACTATCTATTCACCCGCACTAATATCTAGTCTCTTTTTCCTGGCCAGGAGACACATTTCTAAAATAAGTAATACTAAGCTTCACCTAGCCATCATTTACATTATTAAGGAATGCTGGTAAGGCTACTGCAGGTCCAGAAATTTTCTTCAAAATAAAAAATGCCTGGACTAGCGAGGAAATGTCACCAAGCACATTCATATTCTGGGGAAAACATAAGGTTGTAGAGAAGGGCCACTGAAGGTCTGAGGAGAAAAAAAACCAGAAAAGAATCTAGAAATTTTTACTGAATGGGCCTTTTACCCATCCCACAAAAGAATTCACATCTGTAACATTAAGACTCAGTCTTTCTATTTAACTGGCAGGGCAACTTAGTTGCAAACAGCAGGACACAATTTCTGGAGACTCATAAAATTTTTACTATTATGTATGGAAAGAAACTGTTCTGGATTTTTTGTAAAACATATAAAATCATTTCTTTGAAGTAAGCGCAGAAAACTTAACTATGAGTTTTCTTCCAGATACATTTTTTTTGCACAATAAAACAACTCGACTATCATTCTTTATAATTCAGGCATTCTTTTATTAAATTGTATTTCTTGCTTTTTCAGATATGGAAACCATTATTTTTTATCCTCTAAGTTTCCTCATTAGCTAACTTCTTATCTGTGGATTAGTTGCAAAGCTTCTTGCTCATTGCAAAGCATTTGATGGAAGGCTCTTTATAAACTTTCTTTCTACTTTGGGCACTGGCCTGGACTGTTAGTAATGCCTGCTACTGTTCGCTGGTGTGTGTTACTGTGGACACAGATGCTGTTATATAAGAGAAGTCTGACCACCATCACTAATCTATTGAAGAGTTTGACAAACTTCCAAAGAATTTTGTATTTCCAGAACATGTTTTGAAACTACTTTGGCAGAGTATGGTCTTTCCAAACTGTGGCTGTCTAATTCTATTAGGACTGACAGTTCCCAGGACTCTCAGCTAGCTGAAAGTCTTGCCAGTTGGAAATTTGGCCAGTTCCAGTAATCAGAGAGCCATAATTTCTAAATATTGCATGACAATAGTTGAACACAATCATCTGAAAGCACACTGCCCCTTGACTCAGAAAACCTTAAGCTTGTAACTTATCTCTCAGATTTCTGCTATAATTGATACATACCCTCTGTTGGATGGTAGCAAATGCATCTAGAAGTTCATAAAAATAAGCAGAAGCATGTTTTGGTTGAGATTCTTCAAAAGAACCATATAAATAAGATTATACACACAATCTTGAAGTTTTGAAAAGTTGATACAGTAGTAATGCTGATTATTGCATATTGATCTTGATGTTTTATTTCTTTTCTGAAGCAATGCCAATATATATATTGGAAAGGTGAACTGTTTTTTATTCTGATGCACATTTACACAACACATTCACATTTACACACACACACACACACACACAATATTTACATCCTGTATCCCCACAAGCCTTAGATCTGTCAAAACTAATTTTCCCATCTGGAATTTTTCAATGCAAGATATCATT